CCGGCCCCAGGGCGGGGACTGGCTGGCTCAGGGGGCGGGGAATGGGGCAGGGGCCTGTTCCCTCTAGGGGGTGCTGGCTCCCACCCGGCCCCAGGGCAGGGACTGGCTGGCTCAGGGGGACGGGGAATGGGGCAGGGGTCTGTCCCCTCTAGGGGGCGCCGGCTCCCACCCAGCCCCAGGACGGGGACTGGCTGGCTCAGGGGGGTGGGGAATGGGGCAGGGGTCTGTCCCCGCTAAGTCTCACCCCATCTCTGATTCCACCCCCCTCCCCAGGTTTGCTTTCCATGGGTCCCGTGCAGAGGCCACCTCTCTGGAGATGCCCGCCCTGCCCCATGGGGGTGATGGCACTTCCAGACGCCCCTCCAGCAAACAGGTAGGGGGAAGGGGGGTGGGATGCTGGAGGGTGGGGGGTTCTGGGGGTTCCAGGGCTAGGAAGGGCCGTGGGGGGCCCCATGGGGCGACTGTGGGTGCTGGGGAGCCCCCGTGTGAATTCTGGGGGGCGGGGAGGAGTCCGGGAGGCAGGCCGGACAGCATTACATCCCTGATTTATGCTGGTCACGCACAGCCTCTGGCATGTCAGCTGCTCCTTGGGTTGTGCAACCGAATGACACTCGCCGATATCTCCGGTCCCAGACACAGCCCTGGGAACCTCCGTCTGGCAGTGCCCAGTCGTGCCCGCTAGACGCTGCCAGCTTATATGAGTTTGTCAATTTAACAAAGACATTGATATGCACCAGACTTGTTCTGCCCAGGGGAGCCTCTGACACGCTGCAAACCAGACGCACGGCTCCAGGTGGAACAAACAGATCGATCTATTAACTATGAAGAACGATTTGAAGTGATTATAAGTCAAAGCACAAGAAGTCAGATTTGGGCAAATGAAATAAAAGCAAAGTGCATTCTTAGCCGATCTTAATGCTTCCAACGTCCTTACAAACTTAGGTGCTTCTCACCACAGGCTGGCTGGCTGCCCTTCAGCCAGGCTCTCCCCTTTGATCAGCGCTTCAGTCGCTGGGGGGTGATGTCTGTAGATGGAGGTGGAAGAGAGAGGAAGAGCCTGGCAAATGGGGATTGGTCCTGCTTTGAGCAGGGAGTTGGACTAGATACCTCCTGAGGTCCCTTCCAACCCTGATCTTCTGTGATTCTCTCCCTTTGATCATGTCCTTTTTTCCTTCTTGGTTCCCGCCCCCCCTTCAGAGTCAGGTGAGCATTACCTCATCGCAGTCCCACACTGACCAAGGGAAGGGGGGTGACTCACTCAGAGTCTAACAGATCCTTTTGTTGCTGCCTAGGACAGCATCCTTTGTTCCTGTGAGGCTGGGCCGGGTTCATAGAATCATAGAAGATCAGGGTTGGAAGGGACCTCAGGAGGTATCTAGTCCAACCCCCTGCACAAAGCAGGACCAATCCCCATTTGCCAGGCTCTTCCTCTCTCTTCCACCTCCATCTACAGACATCACCCCCCA